TAAACTTTAATGTTGGAAGAAGTTTTGATGATTCGAAACCTAGCACTTCATTTACTTTTTGATTTGGCCAATTAAGATGTTAATACCTGTTGTGAGAACATGTAAGATCTGAGATTGTATTGTCTCAGTTAACAAATGGTTGGAATCACATATTGATTTCATGAATGAGAATGTAGTTCATGGGGCTGAGTGCAAATAAATAGGGAAATAAACTTTTCAAGGGTGTAGAATTAGAGGACTTTAGAGTGACAGACTAAAGCCTCTTTGGTTTATATTTTCAGGATTTAAAACGAGATGTGAGCTCCCAGGTGGAAGGAGAAGAGGGAAATCTAGAGTGAGAGCTAGTATCTTCCTTGCCTAGTAGTTCTCAAGACTATTCAAACTATATATTAGTCAATGTTCTTTATAGCATCTCTAATAAGGGTAAATAATATTATAGCTCATATTTGTCACAACAAATTTTAACATACTTACACAACAAAATTTTTATATTTATCACTGATTCATGATAAAGAAAAAGATATTTTATTTATATTGCTTTCATCTTGTTTCATCTTGTATATTGCTTTCATCTTGCAAGTATTTTAGTTAAGTTAATTAGTTGCTTACTTTATTTTCAAATAATTAAAAATTATAAAAAGAAACAAACTTTCATTCCTAATTTAACATCTTAAGTTTAGCATGATTAAGGATATTTTAGATAGAAGTTGTGGAGGTTTGTTCCTATTTAAAATCTAGTTCTCCCTGTGGGTTTGATATTTAGGACTTAATCCGAAAGTCTTATATTACTTGATAACGATATATATACTTGCATAGTATCTCATATTTAAAATTAAAGCTACATTCTTATTTGCTTCATAGTGAAAGATTTACCTAGATTTTGCTTGGGATCAAGTTTTTGGCATCGTTGCAAATTAAGAATATCTATTAAGAAAATTAATCACATACATCGCATTTTACATCTATCTATATAGAAAATCGGGATCATCCGTGAGGGGAGGTGCTTAAGTAGCCATGGCCATGGTGGCCAGGAGAGCAATCAGAGGGTGGAAAGAGTTGTTGAAGTGGAGGGCTAAGCGGTGCAGTTCACCAATGGAGAAGTGTCACAATGGAGAGGTTTAAATTTGGGTCCAAAGGTTGGGGGGTCTTAGTTTGAAGCTTTCCAACAACTAGGCCGGCCATTTGCTGGTGGCTAGTTGGGTTAGGGGAGCCAGAAAAACTTAAAGGTGATGGCTTGGGGGCTTGGGAAGGCTGATGGAAAAAATTTCCTTTGGTTTAGCAATTTTTATGAAGAAATCCCCCAATTTGGGGGACCCTTGTCCATCGCTCACCTAGGGTGGGCTAAGATTATTTATTTAGCATCCTAGGAGGTTAACTAAGGCAGGAAAGGATTATGCATGGGCTAATTACAATGGGTTGAGCTAATTTGGGTCTTGGGCTCAAAATTAGGGTTTTGGCTTAGACTTGGGTTTTGTTTTGGCTAGAGTTTGGATTTGGGTCAATTGAAAGTTCAATTTGGTGTAGAATATTGATATGAGGAATTTGGGAATCAATTGAGTGAAAATTGAGAGGCTATGGGGTTTAATTTGGTGAGATTTGAAATTTTGGGCAAAGTTGGTGATTTTGGTTTGGGTTGGATTTGGGCTAGGCTTGAGCTTGGGTCTAGTACAATTGAAGGTTCAAATTAGTCTAGGGGAATGTCATGAAGAGTTTAGGATTCAAATTTGGAGAAATTGAATGGGTTAGGGAGTTCAATTTGGTGGAATTTTGAAACTAGGCCGATTTGGGGCATTTGAATTAGGCATAGGATTTGGAGTTGAAATTGGGTTAAATTGGGCTAGATTTTGGTTTCAATTGGCTTTAGACATGATGAAATTGGATTTGGATTTGAAATTGGAGAAGTTTGAAACAATTTGGTGGAAATTGGGGGTGATTTGGAGACTTTAGGCATTTAGGGGTAAAATTTGGATTTTGGTCAAAATTGGTCAATTTAGTCAAATTGGGCCCAATAGATGGGTAAGATTGGTTTTGAGGATGTTTGGAATAATTTGGGAGGTTTCGAGAATTTTTGGGCCATGAGGAGAAGTTTGGTAATTTTGGTGACATTAGGGGTATTTTGGGAATTTTGAAAATTTTAAGGTGTTTTGGGCAATTTGGGTGATTTTAAATGGTTTCGTATGACTTTTGGACAAAATTTGAGGATTTTGGAAACTTTTGAAAATTTAGGGTTTCATGGGCAATTTAGTAATTTTAGGAAAGTTTGTGGGAAAATAGCCAAAATTAGGAATTTGGGTAGAATAGGTTCAATTGAGAATACTAATCATAAAATTACCCTTATGGTGCCATAAGACCAAGGGAGATCCCATTTTGGATCCTCCATGTGTTGTTCTTAGCCAAACCCTAGCCTAGGGCTAAGGGTTTGGGGGACCATCCACATGAGTTTCTAAAAGAGTGGGGAACCAGGTTAAGCATGATTGGTTAAGGGTTATAGGTTGTGAGTGAAAGTTAGGCGTTCAAGTGTGTGTGTGTGTAAGACTGACCAAAACTACACCACTCAAGGCTAACCCAAAGGCCAGAAAGTCCTATGGGGACTCCTCTTGAGCTCCCCCATGCTTGGCTCCATCCTACTAAGTGCTAGAGGTTAGAACCAAACACGTAGAACTCCAAGAAAAGCAATGAGGTATTTAAAATTTCTAATGGGGTAGGGTTTCATTACTAGTCCTCTAAGATTGTTAAAAGGAAAGTCCTATGACTAGATCCTAGGCTTCTAAGGAAGGAAGACTAGACCTCAACAAAAAGTGAGGTCAACAACATTTAGTTTTAGATTTACTACAATAAAGCCTTTTAGACTCTAAAGTAGACCTCATAATTCAAGTTTTTCATGAACTCTTTCTCTAGTTTCATCTACAAAAAGGATATCATTAGCCAAAAGCATACACCAAGGTACATCCTTTTGTAAATGTCCAAGAAGAGCATCCATAACTAAAGTAAAAGGATATGGCCTTAAAATCGATCCTTGATGTTATCCAAATAAGATAGTAAAATATTTGGTCAACCCCTCTTTTATTCAAACACAATTAACAACTGTAATATAATTTTTTTTTTAATGACTTTCATATAAGTTATATCAACCTCAATCTTATTTAGAACTCTTCAAAGAACTTCTCTTGGAACCCTATCGTAAGTTTTTCTAAATCAATAAAAGTCACATGCAAATTCTCCTTACTCTATCCATACATCTCCATTAAGCCCGTCAATAAAATTATTGTTTCCATAATTGACTTGATCGACAAGAATCCAAACTATTTACGAGTGATCTTTGTATTATGTCTTAGCACACGTTCGATTACTCTCACCCATAATTTTAATGTATGACACATTAATTTTATTTCTTTATAATCTGCATACACTTATGCAACCCCTTTATTCTTAGCAATAAGTACAAAACTACTCTTCCTCCACTATTCGACATCTTATTAATTTTTAAAATAATATTAAAATTTTTAGTAAGCCAAATAATTTTCAAATCTCTTAAATATTTCAACACTTCTTTTGGGATACCATCAGGTTTTACTGATTTTCAACGATTGATTTTCTCTAAAGCCTTCTGAACTTCCTTTTTACCGAAGCAATGGTAAAAATAAAAAAATAATTATTATTATTAATAATATTAAAATCACCAAACTTCATTGAAAAATTTATCAAAATATCTGACCCACCTATGAAGAATATATAATAAAAATACTTTTTAATTTTCAACTTCAATACACTTTATTTAAATTTAATCTTATTTTCTCTCTTTGTTTTGTCAGTTTATACATATGTCTTTTACCAATTTTAGTATATAATATATTATAAAGATAATACAAATAAAGTTCTTAGCTCCACAAATAATTCTCTTAGAATCCCGACGGGTCACGTTATATTTTTCTCAATTATTTAAACTTTTACTTTTAAACCAATTTTTATAACAGCACTTCTTATATTTTATCTTTTCTTGCACATTATTATTACAACATCAACTATTTTTATTTATAATAACTTCTCTTTTGATTCTTCAAGTACATCTTTTGGTACTTGTTTAATAATCTCACATAAAATTAGCTTTTTTATGAACATTCCAAATATTTAAATCTTGAAGTTTGCTCCTAAAAATATTTTTATTTGTGTCGTTTAAGTGACTCATCTAATATGACAAAATTTCATTTTATTTTTTTTATCTTTTATCACTTCATCTTAAAATCCAAAACTAATAACCAATGTGAATATCTAAATTTTCACTTGAAATAACCTTATAATCTTTACATCCTCGACAACTTTTTCTCTCTTAAGAAAAGGATCAATTATTATTTTATTAGATCAAATCTTATAAGTAATAATATGAACATCCATTTTCTTAACTAAATTATTAACAATAACAAATCATAAGTCAAAGCAAAATCTAATATGACTTTGTTTCCTTTTTAATCACTCTAAAATCGTATTCACCATGAATATTTATAAAATATTATACCAACATGATATTTAAATCTCCTCCAATAATTTCTTGTAAAGATGTATCATTTGATTTAGTTCCTCCCGAACATTTCAAAATTTTTTTTTAACATATATATAAATCTATTTGAAAAGCATAAGCTCTTATAACATTAATAATCTTAATGTCAATATAATATTTAGGGCTATAACACTAATTCAATTACATTAGCTTTCAAATGCTTATTTATAATTACAATTACATCATTTCTAGTCGGACTTTCACCTAAATATCAAAGTTTAAAATCAAAAATATTAATATCTTTAATATTTTCTCTTGAATGCTTAAGATATATTTTTTTTAATAATAATATCTACTAATTATATTAGTTTACTTATGCGAATAAAACTTTTTATAAGTTACAATAATTTATTTTTCTAGATCAACCAAATGCGAAAGGCTTGAGTTTTTTTTTTTTTTGATTTACGCCTCAATTGAAAGTGTATTAAAACCATGTTCATGGCAACTCGCCCACATCAAACCTGCATTGCTGCAAGTCACCGTAACGAACATTGTCAACCCTACAGGCGAAATGTAACGGCGTTTGTTGGCCGGCTACATATGACATTTAAGAGAGGGAAATAACAGAGGGAGGCCATAAAAACGAAGACACTGTATTGTTTTTTATTCCAAAAGATACGGTCTCGAACCTCAACATCTGCACCTCTTTCTCTCCGACGATCTCCGCTTTTCTGGGGAGTTTTTCTGCCCTCGTAATGGCATCCGAAATCCTTACCGACAAGAACTCTGTCTTTAAGCAGCTCAGATCCAAGTCAGAAAACAAGGTAAATCTTTTGCTGTCGCATGTCCGATTTAATTTCCTTTCTCTCGATATCGATTAGGGCTCAAATGTGGCGGTTCTTCCTATCTTATTAATTCTGACCGCAATTTTCTGGTGTTTCTTTTCTTTTCAGATGTGCTTTGACTGCAACGCGAAGAATCCCACCTGGGCTTCCGTGACGTATGGGATCTTTCTCTGCATCGACTGCTCATCTGTCCATCGCAGCCTCGGCGTTCATGTTAGCTTCGTTAGGTTTGGATCTTGCGAATCCTTACAATTCTTTTTCCTTAAATTTGTAGGGCTTTATCTTGGTCGATTTTGCAGTTTTTGGTTTTTTCTAAGATTTTCCTTTTTTATTTCAACTTATTTAGTTCAATTTTGTATATCGGGTTGTTCAGTTCAACAAAAGCTAGCTGAAGTGGATTATTTGTGCGCATTTCTACATAGCTTATTGAACGAAAATCATTATTATCTAGAATTCTTGTATATATCATCTACTTAAGATCAGTTAAATTTTCTTGTAAAGACATGATTGCCGAAGCACCCCCACATTCTTATGCTTCTTGCTATCAACAAGGTTAGATTTAGAGTTGAACCGGAAAAATTCATATGTTAGCCCAATTATATGTTTAAACGTAAGTTGGAAGAGGAATTGTGGATTTCTACTTCAATATGGGTATATGATATGTTAATGAAAATGTAAGATAATTACTTGTTATAATAGGTTAGTAAGAGGAGTTAATCAGTTAAAAGTTAGTGGTAATGAATTAAAATTTCTTATATTCAATAAATATTTTTATCGAGAAGCAATTAGGAATGAATGAAAAATTGTGGTATGCCTTAAATCTATATTCACTTCTTTTTATCTTATCCACTCAATTTCTAAAATTTCCAGCGAACTCAAATCTGCTATTTATCAATAAATAATTGCTAGTATCCTTGAATTATAGTTTATCATAATCTTGTTATTCGGATTGTAACATTGGTGCTCTTGTTGCATGTCTCCTTGCAACTGTCTCTAATCCACAAGGTCCAATCACCATCACATCCAAGATCCTCTATATATGATTGCAAACTCTTATGCCAAATTCGTAATCCATGATTTTGTTTCTAAAGACATCACCTACATCATTCATAATTTAATATCTAATTCAAAATTGGTTTTTTTTTTCTTACGCATCTTCATGCGTGCAAATAATTGATCTCAGCAAGATCGTGCCTTTGTCCATATTCTTGCAATCTCCATCACGACCTAAATCTTTCCCAACCTTATCTATTTGCGAATTCAACGTCATTAGATATTGCCATCTCACCTTTCCAGAAACATCTTAAAATTGATGTAATGGCCAGCAATATCTTTCCCAAATCAGCCTGCCACCATCTTATACAACAATTTGAGTTCCAACTTCAATCTTTGGTTGTCCAATTCAAGGTTGTTCATCTCACAAATCACCATCTTGTCGCTCTTGACATCCCATCTTGACCTAGCCACCTCCATGAATGGCAGATATCTCTAACTTCACTCTCAGACCAATTACAGGTCACAATTTTTGTGGAGCTTTGTTTCTTGCTTTTTACTTATTGGCGACCATTCCAACTCATTATTCATTGATTTTACCATTCAACATTTCCTTTAATGCCTTCATTATTTTGCTTGATCCGCATTGTCAGCATAGCTGCATCTTTCAACTGACCATTCCAACTCATTATTCATTGATTTTACGATTCAACATTTCCTTTAATGCCTTCATTATTTTGTTTGATCCGCATTGTCAGCATAGCTGCATCTTTCAACAAACTCATATTGTTGATTTTGTTTGCATCCTTTGATGAAGATCATGCAAGATCTCCGATATCTGTCTCGGACTACTTCATCGACTGAAGAAACTCTTTTATGTCATTTCCCTTTAGACACCTCTCCAGGTTGTGCTTATTTTTCATAGTTCCTGTGTCACATAGAGATGCCATTGCCTTGAGCAGATACATTACTGGAAAATGTAAACTCATCATTCTTCCATATGTATCTTTCCAACCACTGCTTTATCATCGGCATCATAAATCTTTGTGAACCAGCCGCATCTATCTACATCCTTTTGATGCTAAATCCATTAACCTCAATCATTTCATAACCTCTCAAAGATTGCATAAATCACGCCCTTCACCTAATTGAAGACATTTCTAGATGAGGAATTATTACTTTTACATGGAAAATAAGAATTCATCGCATTCCAAGAAGCATCTATGAAAAACCCATGACCATCAACAACGCTTCCTCCGGTTCTGAGTATTGCATATTCTCCTCTGTCCACAATTCTCTTCAGGACTTGCTTGACCTCGAGGCAGGTTTTTTGAATGGATATGTAATGATTGTCATGAGATTATGAAATGATTAATTCTTATTTTTGGTTAATAAAAGTAGTTAATTTGTTAAAAGTTATTGGTTATTAATTAGCAATTGTTGGATTCTATTAATACTTTTATGAAGGAGGAGTTAGTTATGAATAAACTAATGAGGTCTGTCTCTCAAAATCTTTGTTCCCTTTTGTTTATCTCACCTGCAAAGGACTGGACACTAAAAGTTGGGGAGTTATTTTCTTCTTGAGTTTGAGCAATTCTTATTTTTTCCTTTGTTTAAAACAATTTGGTGTCCAGCATGCATTTGTTGGACGTGTGTGTATTCTTAGTTTGCGTTGTTGATAACCTGCCTAAATGCATGCTTTTTCTTGCTTGTTGAGGGTAAACATAGTCTTTGCTTGCGACCATTTGCTTGCGACCAAGATAGCCAACCCTTGGTTGAGCCAAAGACTTTAGCGGGTTGCAGCCCTCTTGCTCTCTTTGCTGCTATAAGATGAGCACTTATGAAGAAAATGACATGTTTGATGCAAAGAAGTGTTCATACTAAGATTTTTTTGTGACAATGTTAACATATCTTTGTTGAGGCTAATTGTGATGTTGTTACGTTATAAAACGAGCTGAGAATTATAATCTTAGAGATATAATATTTATATTCCTCGGAGGATCTCATTGAACTAAATTTTTATCACAATGTTGATAAAAAGTTCAAGTCATTAGGATGTACATTTAAAACATATCGTTAAAAAGATGCTTTGTGACCAGGATTATGAGCTAGAAAATTTAGACCATTGAATGACTAAAAGCAATAGTGTGGGCTCTATAGCAATTCATGGCATTTAGAAATTGTGAACCCTTCAGCATTCACGGGTATTATTGCAAATCATGGTTACTATAACAAAGGACAAAATGTTAGATATTTTAAATTTCCTATAGCAAGAAAATTCCAATTAATCCTCTTATTATTGTATCATTATCATATAGAAAAGATTGGGTTAGATCACCCCTATTCTAAGAACTTTTCTATTGGCTGTAAAAGTCTTTCGCACATCCAATGTGCAATCATAATTTGGTATTAAATCATTAGTTTCAACTTTTTAGAAAAAAAATGTTTTTATGGTTAAATTTGGTAATTTAAGATTATACTCATGGCGTTTCAATAAGCCTGAAGACTACAACTTTAAAAAGAAATTATAGAAAATTGAAGATTTTCTCAACCTGAAAGAGAAGTGGGTGGTTCGGTGGCCATGATGAAAAAAGAAGTGGCCACAATGATGGTTGCCTTTAAAGTTTTGGTTGCAATGGTAGCAACTCTACTACCATGTATCTCCAAATAGGAGAGCCAAATAATACAAGGCATCCTTTCAAAGAGAATCACTCACTAGAGAGTTGTTGCAAAAAATACAAAAAAATGTAAAGTTTTTTCTTCAAGGTAAAATCACAAATTTGGAGTTATCTACTAAAATAAAACAACTAAGTTTAGATAATGGATAAGTGTTTTGAGCTTCTTGACATATGTCATGATTTATAATTATCATAATGGAAAGAAAATCTTATTTGCCCGTTGAAAGTTGTCCTTATACGCTTTAGTTCTAGGGCATTCACAATAAAAAAATTATGATTTATCAGCTTTTTTTGACATGGTCAAGATTTGAAAGATAATTTAAAACTCATTTCTGTCCCAATTGACCCAGAAGAAATTTGATGGTAGAATTTAAGCAAAATAATGGTTAAAATGTATAAGCGCCTGATGGACTATAGAAAAAGTACTTATAAGTCATCAATAGAAAAAAGTACTTATAAGTTTTGTTGAATGAAAAATATGGTATTCATGATGTAGTAGGTATTTATGAAAACTTTGCTTAAAATTAAAGTTTATTCTAGTTGTTAGTGTCTTTGAAGCTAGCTGAGAAGTTATAGCACTTGAGAAAAAAAAAAACAATGAATTTCTATTGGATAAGAATCTCATATTGCAACTCTTAAGAAAGAGAAGATTGAAAGTTTAGCAATTGACAACTAATATAGTGGAACACTAAGTAGCTACTACAAAAAGTTAGGGCATAAGCATAAGAATTGTTTAAATTTAAATCTAAAAAAGAGGCCAAAATGGGAATGCAAGAAGGAAAAGATGAAACTATTACTTTCTACTTCAAAGTAAGAGAGACGGGGATTGATAAAGGTAGATATTGTATTTTCTTTGATATTGCATCCATATGCCAGCTAGGAAATTAAGAAAGAACAATTGCACATTAACTTTACGCAAAACTGACCATTTTCGATGCTATTTTAGATTGCAGTAGTCTAAAGAACCTCATGTTTGTAGCTTTGGTTGGTAGAATGGAGCTAGTCACTACTCAAAATTAAAATTCTTTGAGTTGGTTTCAAAAATGATTTATTTGTCGAGTCACTTGACTCTTACATTATTTTTTTGAAAAGCTTTTATTAAGGTTGTAAAAATCGGACTGAACATCGAATCGAAAGAAGTAAATGTTCAAGGTCAATGGTTCAACCGGAGTTGGACCGGATAACGTAATAAATATTTAAAGTATTTTAATTTAATTTGAATAATAGAATAATGATATATTAATATCATTTTTATGGATTCCACAAATAATATATTAATTTAAGAAAACACTTATAAATATTTTAAACAATATTAGAAATAAAAAATTTAAGACATGATATTCTCTTTTTTAATTTAAATATCTTATTTTTGGTCATCCGATCAAAATCAAGAGGCTAAAATTGAATAATATTTAAACCGACCGGTTCTTTAAAAACTGGACCGATTTAGCCCCTGTTCTGACTGGATCAATCTCGATTCTATGCAGAAACAATTTTGAGTTTGAAACAAACCAGTTGAATAACTGATTTACGGTTGAACTGGCCGGTCCTATCTG